TTGTGGCCATACTAACATGCAGTTATGCACATGCATGAGATGAAATTTGGCCCCAGACGTGGCAGTCTCCAATTACAATGTTATGCCCAAATGGCACGAAGAGGATTGAGCGAATGAGTGTTTTTCTTATCATGTTCTTTTTAAAAAGAACTATACCGATGTTTAGCCCTTCAGGAAGCTTAAAAAAACGTAAGTTGATTAACATGGACGCCCGTAGGCAGATTGTTCCACATGTTACCTTGTCGACGCAAATACACGGGCCTGCAGATAAGTAGAAGGGGTATCCGGTTATATCACACCATGGTTAGATCGCACCATGGTTAGATCGCTCCTAGTTAGATCGCTTTAACCAAAGTTAGATCGCTCCATCAAATAAGATACTTCGCTCTCAACATAAGTTACCTCGTTCCATGCTATAATGTGAAGTATTACCTGCCACTGATCTTTAAAGATTATAGGTGATGATGGGTCTTGCGACGAGTTTTAAAACGTTGTCAAACTCAGACCCGGGCGAGACTGGATTCGATTCGATTAAAAATGGCGAGTCTTTCTTCGTGTAACAAAACTCTTTTCTTCTATCAACCTTCTACCTTGGTTTTCTACATGAAGCGAAGTAACCTATGTCGGGAGCGAAGTAACTTATTTGATGGAGCGATTTAACTTTTGGTTGGAGCGATCTAACTGGGAGCAATTTAACCATGGTGTGATCTAACCGTAATTCGTAGAAGAGTTTGCAAATTGGTCAAAGAACGGTAGTTTTGTTCATTGTACTGCTCAGGAAACGTCAGCCATTCTTTTTCTACGCAACTTTTCGTAACCCTTCTCCTTGAGGTTTCACTGGCCTCGCGGCGAAAGGGGAGCAATTGTACTCATTATGGAATCAGCTTGCAGAATGGGCGTCATAAGAGACCATAATGTTTTTCAAAAATGATATTCGCATTTATAACGCTCGATAAAAAACGTTTTGATGAGCACCCTGTTTATAAACCCCTTCCCCCATCATAGCCACCTAAAATGATTAAGGATCTGGTCATTGCCCGCCTCCCTCTACATAGCCCACACTACATAATTCTGACCAATTTGAATAACTCACGCACTCCTTGTGAGTGTGTCGACAAGCAAGGCATACTACAGAAATATAGAGAAATGTAAGCAATCACAGAATTAACAGTGAATAGTAAAATTTTAAAGGCATTGTGGTCTGAAAAACTCAAGTGAGAGAGTCGAATTAGATTTTAATGAAGCGAAGAGAAGCAAAATGTAGCTTTGTGCCTCTTTGAACCCCTCATAACGTTCTTTTTTTTCTAACGATTCTCGACTGTAGATTTCCTATACCCACACCCTTGGACAGGAATGCTTTCAGATGGGAAGGGCTAGTCCCACGAATATCGTGTCATGCAAAAAAAAAAAAAGCATAGAGTTTGCAAGTTTTTAACCCTTTACACCCACAGCGTTCTCCATACATTCCCCCAAGGTGCTGACGTGGAGAATTTGTGTAGCAATCAACGACTTCTGAAGCTGCTGATAATTTTCTTTATTCGCATGACCTTACTGCATTATTCAGGGGTGATCTTGGAAGGAGAAATTACATGCTGGTCACTCATAGGGGTTAAAGAGCTAACACAAAGTTACAAGGTAGCGTAAAAGAAAAAATCTTTAAATTTAGTTTGTTTGTATCATTTGTAATTAAAGCGAAAAAAGAGGCTTCTTTTCACTATGCTATAATTATAGTTGGTGCTTGAAGCGGTCAGCGGATGGATTGCTCGTTGATTGTTTCGTGACTTCACGGTCCACCGCGGTATATAATGTCGATTCCTTTGTAGAAATTTGTCAGAAAGAAATCAATGCGTAACGATCGACACCAGTTCATTTCTTAATCGTTTTGGGGTCACCTCTGAGTAATAAAACGGCTGAAATAGTCGGAGAGCGATGTGTGAAATATTTTGCTATTAGTATAAGTTTGTAACCGAACCTAGTAAGATATGTAAATTTGAAAAAGTCGATTACCATTGAATTCGCTGGACCAGTGAACACTGCCAATCTTGAATATTTAAACATAATCTCTTCACTCGAACTAGTCTTAACATAGTAAATATGATAAAATAAGTGCCTGTTCTTCTTGTAAAACAATTATAGAGTCTCAAGCAAAGAAGGACTGACGCTTTCATATTAGGTCAGTCGCGGCACCCTAAATTGTTCCTTCCACTCGCTCGTATCCCAAAGGTTATGTACATTATAAGCATCAAGTAAGATCTCTCCAACAAACTGGTGTGAGCTAATAGCGCTAATTCTAAATCTGCAGTCCCTTTTCGGCCTTCATCATCTTCAATGGCTAAATTAAGCGTATGCCTTTAAGATATAAGTTAACATTGAAAATTGTGCCTCACAAACTGCTACGATATTACTTACGTGTGGAAAATAAATAATTATGCAAAAAATGCGACAAATACATTCTCCCTCCTTAGAAGGAATTTTTTAAGTCGATAGAAACATCATTTAACTAACCTTTTCAAACAAACACCGTGTACTGAGCGGAAATGCGCCCATCAGCCAGTGTATCGTTCTCCTCACCTGTGAGGGCAATTACGATGTCGGCGAAGGTGTCCTAATGATCTCCGCAGTTGCCTTTAGCGAGCAAAGGCAAAGAACGACGACGGAACCTATGAAAAAGCCGTCAAACGAGGAGGTGAAAGAACTTCAGCGGTTTCTGAGCTAAATGCGTTTGCACGTCGTCACAGGAACATCTGGGAACATCATTATGTTTCGCCCCCATCCAGAAAGCAAGGCTAAAAGTTTGGTCGAATTCTGAGTTTTAAATAGGAAAACGTACTTCGGTATGGACCAAAGAATACTTGAGGGTCGCTGTACTTCAAAATAACAGAGCAAACCACATCGTTTCATACTACTGACTTTGTTTTGACAACGGTCCACCCACGAAATTTACCACGGAAGACTCAAAGATAAATCAGAGAAATCATTCAGAGGGTACCTTCGATTCGTGACTTGAACTTCACGGAATTTATGATCTGCATGTCTACCCTTATAGATAGGAAAAAATTAAATGACCGTTCAAAACCACATTTTATCGGTCTAAGAAGTCACAATGTTACAGGTAAATAAACTAAATAAGCTCGCTATTTGCTCGATTGAAACTCGATAGAAGCAGAACTAAACTGGTAAGAGTCCCCGTCAGAAGATTGCGCTGACCAACGGGCGCTGACCAACGCAATCGTAGCTTCAGAAATGTTCTTGATTATATTACGCGCGTGCGCTTGGTGTTGGGCGAAGACTGTGTGCTACCATAAAGAGAAGCGAAGTTCACGTGAGTCATATATAAACTTTTCAGCTTCTTAATTAAAGAGGGGCGAGGAAGATGGAGCACGTCATTGCCCGCCATATGCTGCCCGTCAAACCTAGGAATAGTTACTTCCTGTCTCATGATGAGACTGTAGTCTGTGATATGGTTACGCAAACGATTGCAAAACCTGATGAAATAAGGGCGCATTACAGTGGTAATATTAATAGAAGGGTTCTGAAAAAGACATTCCCGTTCCAAATAGGTGTGCATGGTATTAATGGGAAACCATGTTATGCCTTAATTGCTATCGTGAGGACCACGAATAACGATTTGATTACAGCCTATCCCACAATGAAGTGACTCCACTTCTGAGCCTATTATATACCTACTCTTTTGCTTCACTGTTCCTGACTCGCTATCACACATGACTTAAGTAACAAAGCTGATTATAGAGTGATCTTTTGATTAGTATCAATGTACCGGAACACCTCACCTGGCCAATTATATCTATTCCCAATTAGATCAATTTTATATTTTTTTATTCAAGAAGCTAGAGATGCTCCCGGCTACGCCTCGAGCAACACTTACGCATCTTTCGTGCTCTCCAAACTTCCCGCGTGCTTCATATCTCGATAATTCCTTTTATTACACAGTATATACGTTCGTAAACACGTACAAAGTTTTCTGTGCATACTCAATCGACGCCCCCCTCCCCTACATTTCAACGATTTTAAAGTCGCAAAATAAACAAGGCCGCATGGGAACCAGAGTTTCCATTCAATTTCGTCTTAGCATGTGTACACGGTTGAGCCAGAGATATTTTGCTTCAGTCGTGCCAGTTCCAATTTTCCTGATTTTCCTAGCTCTCAGGCTGTAGTTCGCGTTTTATGTATTTCAACAAATGAAATTACCAAAAATTAATGAAAATGTATTGTCACAGCCAATCAGCATTTAGTAATCTTTTCCTCTGAGGTAAATAGTTCTTTTTAACTAATATATTCTAAAACAGTGAGATAATATAGTACAAAATATGATTTTAACTAATTCCAGTTATTCCCTCAATGATTAACATATCTTCGGGCACAAATCCCGCGCGAGTTAATTGCTCGGAGGTGAATGGCAGAGAATATTCGTATGTTGAGTAGCCAATCAGATCGCATATTTAACGCCATTAATGTTTTAGTAGATACTAATACCAACCCACGGTTGATATGGATAATAAAAATTTGAAGCCGGTCAGTTTTAGGAGTTACGACCTTTGACGTAAGCGTTTACAAGTTGTGTCGTTCACACGAGAATACAAGATAAACGCACATTGTTGTGCATTAACAAAAATATGCACTTTGGTGGCAGTCGTTTTTGAAAATATCAGTTTAACCCTTTAACTCCCAGAAGTGATTAACATAAAACTTCTCCCTACAATATCCATACATTCTTCAGCAAACAGGCTATGGGAATATTCAAACTTATCAGGTAGTAGCTGCTATCTTGATCTAGCATCAATTTCTCATAACTAATTTACAAGGAAATGTGTAGCAGCTAGAGGGGAGAATTAACAATCAGATCTTGGGAGTTAAAGAGTTAAAGAGATCGTTCACTTCTTTTAAGTGTGGACGGATTTCTAATCACACACACGAAAAAGACCACCGTTTACGGATGTAAACGCATACCAGGACACAGGGCCTTATAAATTCTTACAAAATTGTACAAAAAGTGTTTTTTTCTTAATAAGTTCCTCTCAAATTTACAAGAGACCTACAATTAAATCTCAATACATCTGTACAGTAATGACCTGGAATTTTATACAGGTGATAAACACTGATACAATCGATTTCAGCGTGTTATGTCTGTTTGTTCGTTTGTTTCTTTATAGCCCTATATACACAAGTGAAAGTCTACTAACTCTTTGTACTAATTGTTTGTTGAATATGTGCCATACCCCAGCAGAAATTAATTCAGTTGTGAATTCTTATGAAAAATAAACAACCTCATGGAAGCAATTTGCAAAATCTGCATTACAAATCATTATTGATGTTTAGGGGATTATCGCGATTTTAGCGCAAAAGAAGATTCACCGTGTGATTACAAGTTCATATTGAGAAAAATTTTGTATTAAACAGTATTTACAGATTGGTTTTTGACATGACTGAGTGTACTTAAAGTATTAACTGCTATATTTAAATAACATCAACGGTTAATACTGTTATTACACTAAAACAAATGATAAATAATACCCAAAATGTCTTCAACAAAACTATTGATTTCTCCATTTAGTAAGAAGAGTAAAGCCTGCCAATCAGGATTTTATACATCAGCTTCAAATTTAGGCCTCTTCTTCTCAAGCAATTCATTATTTCTAAAAGGTGTGATTTTCACATTTCTAACTGCCTGGGAAATAACCCCATAATGGATCAGAATTCTACTGCACCCATCAGTTGAATCTTGCTTTCGATAATATCTTTCAACCACTTCTCTCGAAACCTTGTTCTACCAGGCCTATGAGAAATAAAGGGAGCAGTACCAGTCATATATCTTGAAGAAAAAAAATTCATGAGGAAAGCACTGCTCTGGCAGGTCTTAGCAGTACTGGCTGACAGCAGCAAGGTCTGTAAAAAAACTATGGCAAAATACCCACCAGGTAAGAACCAATCAGAATGCTTGGATTTACCTCTCGACTACCTTGCCAGATAATAAGATGAAGTTATACTGAGATCATGTTTTTTTCCTTCAATAAGAGACTAAGTGATGGCTAATTTGGCTGTTGGCTAATTTTACCAAGAGCACAGGCTTTAACAGCAGATGATAACCACAGGTAGCCCAAGCTCCAGTTGTGAGTTGATCATCTTGCAAAAAAAAACTCATAGTGAAATTATAAGAGTTTGTATGGGAATATTTATGACCACTTTTGGGAATTAAAAAAGAGAGTCAAATTCTCACTAAAAGTACCTCACCTTACTTCCACACTGCATCCCATGTTATCTGACTGCTTACTATGTTGAAAAGAACCCATTTTGGTGATTTATCCATTTCTAGGTTTACTATGTATGAAAGAGATGCCTGTACTAAATCTAGAAATAGATAAACCACTAAAATGGGTTCTTTACAACATAGTAAGTGGTCAGATAACAAGCCATGCCTTGTGGAAGCCAGGTGAGGTATTTTTAGTGAGTATTTGACTGTATTTTTTATTCATAAAAGCAGTTGTTAATGTTCCTATACAAACTCTTATAATTTCACCATAACTCTTATTTCACAAGATGATCATCTCATAGCTGGAGCTTGGACCACCTGTGATGATAACATACCTATGGACAAGATGATGTGTCTCAAAAATATAATACACTTCCACTGGGAATGTCTAAAAAGGAAAGATAAACAAACGATTTAGTTTTTCTGGATGAATGAATTTTCTCTTGGAGAGATGTCACTACATTAAAAGAATAGAACAGCTTGTCTAACCATTGACACATAAAATCAGCATTTAAATTATCCATACTGTTCTCTATACATTTCCTAAGGTGCTGAAAAGGAAAATTTGTTCAACAATAAAGAGCTTCTTTAGTAGGTGATCATTTCCTTTACTCTTGTGACCTTAATATTTGATTCAGGGGAGATATTGTAAGGAGAAACTAAATGCTGGTCACTCCTAGGGGGTAAAAGGGTAAAATTTAATCATAATTTGCAGCTTCAGGTAAATTCAAATCTGTTAATTGGTTGACATTGCTACCAGAATTTATCTTGCATGAGGGAACCACAAATTTCTACTCTTCCTGTCATTCAACTGCGTGTAAACACCACATTCCCCCCCACCCCCCTGCTAACAATTTTGTCAGGTTTTCAGAAAGTTTGCTAGGACCCATTTGTACCTGGTAGTGAAGAGATACACTGTAGGAGATAAGTGTCTTATTAAACAACGAAACACAAGATCTTTGTGAGGGCAAAGATACATTCAACTGATTTGTTTCTGATTGGTTCTTTTGTCTACTTTCATTTTGAGTTTACCCAACCCTTTCTAAAAATGCTCTTTAGATATTATTTGCAATTGTTTTACCTTTGGCTTGAATTTGCTAACTTCAATGGTTATATAAACAGAAGCAGTTGCCCTGGGAATTGGTCTTCTCCTGGTTGGTATACTCCACTTGACGGCATACCTATATCGCCAGCTGTAAGGGTACTCTTCCTCTCTTAAAAAGTCAATACAGTATAACCAGCTACCATCACGTTCCCATGTCTGCAAGAGAGTTCTTACATTTACCAGAGTGTTCATAGCTCTTGTTATGGTCTTAATGACATAGTAAAGCAATTTGTCACCAATAAAATAAATATTAAAACTTCCTATTGTCTGGCTGTCATCCATATTCAAAATAATTAATTTGATCAGTGTCAACTGATATTGAACAATAGCATTCATTCCATTGCTACTGAAAAGTGAGCACAAAATTCTAATGTAGGAATATTTTGTGACCTTTTCCATGACTGGTTTTTCTCAATTATCCTTGATTTTAGCCAACAAAAAAGCGAAATTTCATCTTTTAATGTGATATTTCAAGGCCTAGATAAAACATAAACTAACATCATGTGACTTATGGATTGCCGGCTGATTTTCATTAAATAATTTTTATAAATTAATCATGCCAGCAATTTTTTTCTGCCAGACTTACCCAACGATATTTGCAAAAGAAATGTGATGCTTCGGAAACACATAACAGCAAGCTTTCCCTTAAAGCTCTTTTTCGAAGCTGATACACCTTAAGATCTTTATATAGATTACATATACTTGGAACAAGTTTAATTGTTTGTATCGCGTCGTAGTCGACGTTACTTGCGATCGATGTGGATCGCAACGTTTCGACCGCATACTGCTCGTGTTCTTCATACGAAAATCTTCTATAGAACACAATCAGTATGCGTTCGAAACGTTGCGATCCGCACTGTGAGAGAAACGATTGTGCGATGAATAACCGCAACTTTCTTTGCGATATTACCTTGATGAATTCCTCAATTTTTTCTAATCCCCCTGCAACTGTGAAGTTATCTGCCGTCATCCATTTGATGTTCGGTATCTCATAACCTGTCTCAGGATCTATTATTGGCTGATCCTGCTGAGCAGGAGCTTCTCCTTCTCTTCCATCCTCGCCAGCATAGTCAGCCATACGACGTCGAGCATTTTCGATCGCTTCGTCGACAATTTCGCGAGCTTCGTCTTCGTAAATTTGATCGAGTGTTCGATTTCCTGGCACCACCGTGCGAATAACAGACGGAACTTTCTTTGTCGTGCCTGCAGAGGACATGGCTTTTGAATTATAGGTCTAAAATTCAGATCGTTCCAAGCAAAGACCTTTCATTCGGGACTGTCCACCATTTTGATTGAGCACGGTTTCCATAGTAACGAGTTTTTCTTTACGCATTGTTTTCGACAAAGACCGCTGATTGGTAAGCTCGCAAGCTATTTGGCTCAATTGTCGTTTCGCTCATTTATTTGGCTCTTCTCGGGGAGAGACTCGAGCACTAACAGATTGGAAAAATTAATACTTAAGATGAAAATAACTAAGTAAAAATGTAGCTATCTCTGTGCTCTTGAGAGAAATATCAGAGAAAATTTTTAACACTGGCAAATATATCAAAAAATTTATCCGGCAGATCGAGATTTAAATTTGATGACCTTTGGTTTTTCGATGGGAACATTTTTTTGGAAAAATATTAGTGTTCTCCATTGAAGAAACGTTTATGAAATTTTAACCCAAACTAATGAACGCATTAAAAGCAGGGAATTCCCAAAAATTTGTTTGTAACTCATTAGAGTCCCCTTAGGACGGAAGAATGCACTTAAACAAACCTCGTTTCTATGCGGATCATATGTCAAGTGCTAACTTTGATCCTGTTTGCAAATATGCGTGCTACATGAATCATCAATATACTCAACCTCAACTCCGGAAATTCTCTCTCACGGAATGTCTTCCATCATAGATGGTTGGAACGGTGGGGAAAATGTTCGCTTCTCTTGACGACGCGTCGTGGTATCACGGTCGAATCACACGGGATCAAGCGATTGAAATCTTGCTTCAGAATGGCAGACAAGAGGGACTGTTCCTTGTCAGAAATAAAGCTGGTGGATCTGAAGACAACTTTGTTTTGTCCCTATGGCATGGAAATCAGGCGCTTCATTTTCAAATACAGTCTCGCGGAGGGATTTATTATTCCATAGACGATGGACCGAGTTTTGAGGGTTTGGATTCGCTGATCGAATACTACAGAGAACAGGCGGACGGTCTACCGATTAGACTTACTCAGTTTTGTCAGGGGAATCCGCCCCCTGCTTCATGTAGAAAACATGGAGTGACAACTCCACTTCATCTTGCTTGTGCAGAGGGTAATTTCAAACTCGTATTGGGTTTGCTTACTGGACAGAATCAATCTGACATTACTACAAGGAACGAAAACGGCGTAACGCCACTTCACGAAGCTGCGCTTCGTGGAGATGAAGATATTGTCTCAATCTTGTTAAGACATGGTGCTGACACAAAGAGCAAAGACGATGGTGGAAACACGCCGCTACAGGTTCAGTATTTCATCTTCACAAAGATATTCTGCTTTGAATATTTGCCTTTAGATAACCGGGCTTCGAATTTCGATTTCTAATTACACTTCCTGCTTAAGATTCTCCGAACTGATATGAACGTAATTTCACGATATTTAAACAAAATTTTTATTAGAACGATATATATATTTAAACGATATTCGCCAAGTTTGTTCAAAGTACACGTCTTTTGCTTGATCTGAGGGTTAAATCTGGCATTTTGGTTAATTCCTTAATACAACTTAGTTAGATCAAAGATCTAAACGTGATTAAATTCCAGTGGAGGTTATTAAGGCTTATCTGTTATTTGAATGAATGAATCTGTGATGTTTTAAGGTCATAACAGGTCAATTATTTTGTCTGATGTGATCATCGCACATACCATGAAATTCCACTCAACCAGAAAACGACTTAAAATAGCTCAGGAGATGAGAGCTTCATACCCTTCTCTCTTCCTTCCACCACATTTACTTATAGAGACAAATGATCAAACAGTTTTTTGTAGAGATGCTTTCATTTTTATTCCTGATCTTTCAATCCAATTTGTGTACATAAAATGATTTGATACTCACAGAAGGAATGCATAACTTTCCTCTAAACATTTTCTATGAGAATTATGTTTGCCATCAGCATGTCATGGCAAGGAGAAAAAGAGTTTGGTTGTTAGATTTGCAGAGAAATGTGGAGACCAAGATCTGATTGTTACCGTAATTTCCTACCGATTACCCTTGTTAATTTTTCCACAAACAGTTGTTGGTGTGGGTTTTAAGAAGGTGCAAGTAATATGATAATTTTTAAAGCTTCTGGTGTAGTTTAAAACCTATAAGCAAGAAAAAAATAGAGATGATAAGGTCCACTCAAGATAGTCTTAAAAAACCTGTGCAATAACTCATTTATTTTGTGTAGATTGCTCATTATAATAGGAGACTTTAATGCGCGTGATAAAAGCCAATGCAAATCAAAAACGTACGAAACCCGATAAGAGAGCTTTTATCTTGTTTGTACTCTTATTTTCTTACCTTGTCAATTTCACAGCTTGTTTCTCTGTTAGGTTTAAAATAAATTCTCACATACACAGGTAGTGAACTTGGAAATACAAGAATTTAATTGTGAAAAAGCTGGCTTCAGAGCAATTCACACAGAAAATGCTGACGAGTTCATTTTGTGGTGCTGCATAATTAATGGCGCAACAGAATATTCGACGCATCAGTGAAATTTTCTTAGCTAGCACTGTCTTGAGTTAAAGAGTATTTTCCTGTTTCAAATGATTTCTTCGACTCAGTAGATCTCGAGATATCGATTTTTTTTAGAACAGATTTTTACAAGTGGTATCATTTTCAATGAAACAGCAAAGACAAAAAGTGTGAAAATTTATCAATTGCACACAAAAGATTTCATGTCCACAAAAACTATGAAGGAACTTTGTGTAAAATGAGGATTTTCTTTTGTTTTTGGGTGCGGGTTATTTGCTAGTGTGGGTAATCTGTTGGAATTTGTTTCTCAGTATTGTAAAAATTGACCAATGCGGGTAAATGGATGGAAATTACGGTAATTCTCCCCCCTAGCTATGACACATTTCCTTGTAAATTAGTTATGAGAATCTGGTGCTAGATCAAAATAACCACTTCTACCTGGGAAGTTTCATTATTCTCAAACCTGTTTGCTACATGAAGCATGGATTTGATAGGGGAAGTTACATGTTAATCCTTTCTGAGAATTTAGAGGATTAACAGGCTGTGAAGTTTTAATTACTTAATGGTGTCTATAGTCTAAAAACATTTGCACATGTGGCATTTGGGATATGGTAGGTCATGTACCAATTTATATCATTTTACGGTGATGTTGTGGTAAGTATGTAATTTCTTTATTTCTTTCAAATAGCCCTTATATTTCCACACTCGTCAATTTACATGTACTCTTTTCATTTTTCAATGTATCATTTCTACACCATTATTTTCACACTTAATGTAAATTATGCAGCCCTTTATCTATCATGTTTCACACCCCTTTTTGCATTGTGTGTCTTATTTTGCATGGAGGTAAACTTTTCCTTGGTATGTTTCATGTCTTGTATATAGCTTCAGTATTTGTTAAGTTTTTTGTCTCATGGTATCTTCCCATTTATTATCATGTTTCACACCCTTTTTACATTGTGTGTCTTATTTTACATGGAGGTAAACTTTTCCTTGGTATGTTTCATGTCTTGTATATAGCTTCAGTGTTTGTTAAGTTTTTTGTCTCATGGTATCTTCCCATTTATTTTTCCCTTTTTTCCTTGTATGTTTGTACATTCTTGTAAAAGTCACCTTTCTGTTCCTAAAGAATATCCTTCTTCTTCACGTACTCATTAAACAATAGTTAAATTGAATGCTTAGTAGACTTATTTGCCCCCTGCATATAAATTTGGTTAAAGTTGAACTTGGATTCATGGTGATTCATTTTTTCATTTCTCTCAGGTGGCTTGCTATGGAGGATTTGCAACAATTTGCTCCACACTCATAACAGAAGGTAAAGCCGATGTTCAGGATCGCTCTCCTGTAACTGGCTTTGTGGCCCTTCACATAGCGGCGTTAAAAGGTTATGATGATTGCTTGAAAGTTCTACTGGAGCTTGGAGCTCCACTTCACCCTCGATCAACAGAAGGAGACACGCCCAGAGACCTTGCAATTAAATATGATCATTTGCATATTGCAGAAATAATTGATAATTATCCTGTGCAGCCTCCAAAGACTTTGCCGAGGATGTGGTTACATGAAAATTTAGGTAGACAGGTAAGTGTTTTCTGTTTTTGTTCTTGTTTCTTGCCCCATGATAACTTAATTTTTTTGAAGATATTTCATTATAAAGCCTAAGAGCATTAGCAATTATTGGATGATATTGGGCAAGATATTGCAGATTTTTTTGTGTTGAGCAGACCACATACTTACATACTGAATTTCTGTTATTGCTAGGAAGCCATTGCACTATTTAAAAAATTTGGATTAGTTGATGGGTTGTTTCTTGTGCGGTTGAGCACTCGTGACCATGGATATTATGTACTCTCAGTTGCTGTCAACAGTTTGATTTACCATTATCAGATACGAAGCAGGGTGAGTACCCTACACAGTATTTCAAGAAAGAAATGATCCTATCTGGTGGAATGAAATTTTAGTAATTGTCTAACTAGTATCTGGGAAGCACAGGTTTGAATCCTGTCAAAGCCTTATTTTTTTCTGGCTTCTCTTCTGCAGTTGCTAAAATTGCAATCTATATGTAAATATGTTGCAACCCAATATGAACGCACCTTTTGATCCTGCTTACTTCTTATAGCTTTGATGTTTGACAATGAATAAAAATAAGTTTAGTTCTTAGCCTCTCTACAAATTTGCACCTCAGTAGTACCTCTAAATGGGACCATACTGTTATTATATCCACCCAATACTTGTATGTTACTCTGTAACTTTTGTGTTGAGCAAATGTCCAGTGTTTCCTTATTTTACAACCTTGCTATTTGAACTGTTTATTGATGTGGATCTTATTTTAGCAGCCTGTTGATACAACTAATGGAATGAGTACAATAAGAGTGGAACCCTATGATCACTCTAAGTTGTGAGGCCTTTCTGCTACAAGGAATTCCAGTTTGATTCTACCCATACAAATATGTACAGAAGGGAATTGTTAGTAAATCTCTGCAAATAAGCCAAGTGTTTTATTCTTGGGTAGTATGAATGATAGCAATAATAATAATTATAACACAATACAATGACCCACGCACAGAAGAGCTTGATTCCAGAAGTTCAGATTCGAAGACTAGCACATTGGCAGGTTTCTTTGTATTCTGCAATTCAATTAGCTCATGAAAATAAACATATTTAACCCTTGAACTCCCAGGATCTGATTGCTAATTCTCCCCTCTAGCTGCTACACACTTCCTTGTAAATTAGTTACAAGAAATTGATGGTAGATCAGGATGAAAACTTCTTCCTGATAAGTTTGTGTAATCTCATTACCTGTTTGCTGTATAATGTATGGATATTATAGGGAGAAGTTGAATGTTAATTACTTCAAGGGTTGAGATGAGAACATGCAGGCATCCCTTAAACCTACAAACTTATTACTAAAATTGCTATTTGCAGTATAGTCTTCTTATGTCTGATTAACTTTTCCTTTCTGGTGTTCATGGTTTTCTGAGATTCACAATAGGCTGAGTGAAATCGATTGGTTAGCATTCATTTTAGCTCACCTAGCTGGTGTAGTCCAAGTTTATATGCTAGCCATCCAATTTGAAATTTAATTTTAACCTTGGACACCCTAACATCAGTATCCATATTCTCCATACTGTTCTCTATACATTTCCTAAGATGCTGACGAGGAGAATTTCTTTAACAATTGAAAGCTTCACTAGTTGGTGATCATTTCCTTTATTCTCATGATCTCAATGTGTGATTCTGGGTGATATTGTGAGGAGAATTTGGATGCCAGTCACTGTTAGGGGTCATAGGGTTATTAATTATGCAGATACCCTCTTTTTTAAACTAACATGCAGCTAACTCTGAAATCTTTGCTCTTGAAGTCTGATAGGTGGTTCTACATTGACGATGGCCCACTTTTTGAAACCCTGCCGCATATTATTGACCACTACAGTAGATGCGCAGATGGACTTCCTGTCCTTCTTAAGATGGCTCTGCCTCCAGACGGCAACCCACCAATTGATATTCATAAGATTCCAATACCACCTGTAAGGAAGCGAGTACTTTTAACACCTGCTGTGAGCTCCCCTGTGCTTAATACTTCAAGTGGTAGATCCATACCTGGAAGGAATCCACTCCAAAGGGCTGGATCAGCTGTAAGTGTATTTTTGATTATTTATTTTTTTAACTTTTATGGTGCAAAAGAGAACAACAACAACTTAAAACAACTAAGCAATTGGAAAATGTCTTTCAACATAACCCAAAGTTTTTTGTTGTTGTACAATTTACAATTTCAATAGCTCCAAAAGCTTGGGAAGAAGAGGGCTTTCAAATGCCTAGTGCTTGAAGCCTTCTTGTGAAAAACTTGGACATACTCTTGCATACTGGTAGCCTTGAAGGCAATTTGTCCCTGAAGACAAATGACCCAAATCATAAACTTGGTCCCCCACAGAGCACCTAGGAAATCAATGGCTAGAAATTTGCTGCAGAGTTGATATCCCCCTAATCAGACCATTGACTTGATTGTGGTCCTGCTTAATCCTTTAACTCCCAAGATCTCATTAGTAATTCTCCTTACTGTCTGCCAAACAATTCTCATTGTTAGTTTGAAGAATTTGGTGTCAAATCAATTAGTAACCCCCCAATTGATATTCTTCTTTATTCTCATCACTTGTCTGCTTGATTTTGTACAGATTTAGTAAGGAGAAATTTTGTTTTGGTCACTCACAGGAGTTAAAGGGTCGAAGAGCCACCCTTTAGTAATCACGACCAGCATAGAAGGGAAAATTTAAGGAGACATATGCCACCCTGACAAAGATAGCTTCTAAGAAGTGTTATGGATTAGTTTTTGACTCTACAATCATGACGTTCATATTATTTTCAATTTCCTTTGTTTTATTTTTGGTTGATATAAGGAAACCCTTCATGCTGACCAAAGTCCTCAAAGGAGGCACCCTCCAGTGTTACAGAGATCCATAAGTGACGCCAATAGCCATCCTCCAGGCATCAGCAATGGAGAAAATTTAGGTAAACCAGAAGATAGACAACCTCTACCTCTTCCAACAAAACCTCCTCCTAGAGGGCAACGACGGCCTCCCCCACCTCTACCACAGAATCCCAATCCCACAAGTCCAGCCAAACCAAGTGTTCCTGTTCCACAAAGTTCTGCAAAATTAAATACTGTGGCAACCTCGCAAGGTTTGTGACTCAGTTTTATACATACTTGATTGTGACTTGAAGCTCAAGCATATAAGGCAAGCATCGTTATAGAGTGAATTGTAATATTTTATAGTTGTGGGGGGGGGGATTATGTTACCTTCTTGAGTTGTTAAGTTGGTGGCAAATGAGATAGAAATCTTTTCGGAAGCTTTTTGAACTTTTTGAAATCATATTACATCAATGATACAAAGCACCATCAGCTTTCCACCAAAAAAAAAAAATGATTTCTTTGCTAAGAGGTTTTTTGGCCTAAGTAGTTTTGAGGTAATCCTAGTTTCCTTTGTATGGAGCAATTAGATGCACTTTTTGGATCATTATCAGTATCTGGGCAACTGCCCACCTACCCCTCCCCTAACTCAACAACAGTCAGTTGATATCAAGTTAGGGTTAGTGTTGGGTTAGGGGAGGGGTAGGTGGGCAGTTGCCCAGATACTGATATTGATCCTACTTTTTATCATCAAGGTTACCTCAGAGTTAGCTGGATGGCATGGTTTTAAACTCAAGGGGGGAGATGAGCATTGCCAGAGAAATGGGTATTGCAAAAACATAGTTCAAGGCCTTTAGCTGGGAGATAAAGCCAGATTTCTGCATCCATCACACACATGTAACTCTTGACCACTGCATCTCCTTGTTTTATACCATGCGTTCACTCAATCATCATTTCTCTTGTTTTGTTACCAAGGTCCTATGCAGTCCACATTGATCATGAAACAATCCCTGGAACTTGGAGCTGAGCTTGGCCAGGGAGAGTTTGGTTCTGTCTTGAAAGGGATATGGACAGACCCCAAAGGAAACAAGGTGAGAAGGAGTATGTGACATGACCTTGTACTTTGT